TGGAAAAAGTTACACAGAAAGGCTGTCAGTTTAATCAGACAGTGGGTGGATATCAGTATATTCCACCATGTTACCACAGAGTCGAAAGCCCATACTCTGTGGAACAAAATTGAACAAATGTACCAGAGGAAGACTGCACAGAATAAAGCTTTCGCCATTAGAAAGCTTGTAAATTTAAAATACCGGGATGGAAGATCAGTTGCAGAGCACCTGAATGAGTTTCAAGACATGGTAAACCAACTCGTTACCATGGACATGAAACTTGATGAAGACCTGCAGGCGCTGTTACTTTTGAGTTCTTTACCGGATAGCTGGGAGACTCTGGTGGTCTCGTTGAGCAACTCTGCTCCTGAGGGAAAACTGACTTTGATCCAAGTCAAAGACAGTATGTTTAATGAAGAAACAAGAAGAAAAGACTCAGGGGCAAGCAGTTCCCAAGCCCTGGTCACAAAAACCAGGGGGAGAAGTAAAAGCAGAGGTCGGGATAACAAATCCAGAGATAAATCACAATCTCAACCAAGGAGAAAGTTCAAGTGTTATCACTGCGGTGAAGAAGGGCATATCAAAAGAAACTGCAAAGCCTGGAAGAACAGAGGTTGGAGAAATAACAAGACAGAAAACGATGAAAATACCGCAACCCTTGTGATCAATGGGGAACTGGTGTTGCTCTCTGTTGAAGAAGAAGAGTGTCACGTTGCAGATTTATGTGTTAAATGGGTCATTGACTCAGCAGCATCATACCATGCAACATCTCACAAGGAATTCTTTTCTCTATACAAAGAAGGAGATTTTGGTAGAGTAAAGATGGGCAACAACGGCATTGCAAATATTGTGGGAGTTGGTGATGTGTGCATTCAAACTGATATTGGGTGCACAATAACACTGAAGGACGTACGACATATACCAGACTTACGTCTGAATTTGATCTCTGTGCATGCATTGGATCTAGCAGGCTATACTAACAATTTTGGTAACGGCACGCAGAGGCTTACCAAAGGATCCTTGTTAGCTGCTAGAGGTACAGTGAGATCGACACTGTACAGAACTCAAGTGAAGCTGATCAAGGGTGGATTGAATGCAATCGAAGATTATGCTTCGCCAAATTTGTAGCACAAAAGACTGGCTCATATTGGTGAAAAAGGATTACAAATTTTGGCAAGAAAGTCCCTCATCCCATTCGCCAAAGATTCAAAACTGAATCCTTGTGATTATTGTCTCTTTGGGAAGCATCATAGAGTGTCTTTCAGCAAAACCTCGAAGCTGAAAGAGAATGTGTTGGAAATGGTGTATTCTGATGTGTGTGGACCCATGAAAGTAGAGAGTCTCGGTGGTAGCAGATATTTCATGACGTTTATTGATGATGCCTCAAGAAAATTGTGGGTGTATTTCTTGAGAACGAAGGGCGAAGTTTTTCAATACTTCAAAAAGTTTCATGCTATGGTGGAGAGACAGATTGGTAAACCTTTGAAGTGTCTTCGCTCAGATAATGGGAGGGAGTATACTTCCCATGAATTCAAGAATTATTGTGCCGAGCATGGCCTCAGGCATGAGAAGATTGTACCTGGAACCCCACAACATAATGGTGTGGCTGAAAGAATCAACAGAACCATTATGGAGAAAGTGAGGTGTATGTTAAGAATGGTTAAGCTACCTAAGCCATTCTGGGGAGAAGTTGTTCTAACGGCGTGCTACCTGATCAACCGATCTCCATCTGTTCTTTTGGGTTTTGATATTCCCGAGAGAGTATGGTCCGGACATGATGTTAAATACTCTCATTAAAGGTGTTTGGATGCAAAGCTTTTGCTCACGTAAGCAAGGAACAGAGACGAAAACTTGATGATAAAGCCATTCCGTGTATATTTTTGGGCTATGGAGATGAGGAATTTGGCTACAGATTATGGGATCCAGAAAATCGAAAAATTATCAGAAGCAGAGATGTTGTGTTCCATGAGCAAGAAACTATGTCTGATTCTGCTTCACCAGAAACAAGAGGAACCAAGTGGTAAGGTGGATCTTTCACCTGTCAAACCTCTTGGAGATGCCACAGCAGGGGGATAGTGTGATGGAGAACTCAGGGTTGATGGTGAGCCAGCAATAGAAGATGGTGATGGTGAAGGTGTCGAGCAAGAAGACCTCGAAGCTCCGCCTCAGCTCAGGAGATCAAATCGAGCGATCCAACCATCTACAAGATACCCTAGTTCCACGTATATTACCATTACTGAAGAAGGGGAGCCAGAAAGCTTTGAAGAAGTACAGACTCATAAAGATAAATCCGAGTGGATGAAAGCCATGCAAGAAGAAATGGATTCATTTGTGAAATATGAAACTTATGAGCTTGTGAAGCTTCCGAAAGGCAGGAAAGCCTTGAAGAATAAATGGGTGTTCAAGCTTAAGAAAGATGGTGACAATCTGTTGAAGTACAAGACTCGCTTAGTCGTGAAAGGATTTGGACAAAAGCGAGGAATAGACTTTGATGAGATATTCTCACCGGTTGTAAAGATGAGCTCTATTCGAGTAGTACTCGGACTGGTGGCTAGCTTGGATCTGGAGCTTGAACAACTAGATGTGAAGACTGCATTTCTTCATGGAGACCTAGATGAAGAAATCTACATGGAGCAACCAAAAGGATTTGAGAAGACTGGAAAGGAGCACATGATTTGCAGATTGAATAAGAGCTTGTATGGATTGAAACAAGCTCCAAGACAGTGGTATAAGAAATTTGACTCGTTTATGGCAAGCCATGAATATACCAAGACTGATGCATATCATTATGTGTTCGTTAAGAAATTTCCAGGTGATAGATTCATTATCCTTTTGTTATATGTAGATGATATGTTGATAGTGGGACAGGATATGAAGCTAATTGGTGATTTGAAGAGAGAATTAGCAAAGTCCTTTGAAATGAAGGATATGGGCCCTGCGAAACAAATTTTGGGCATGCAGATCATGCGAGACCGAAAATCCAAGAGGTTATGGTTATCGCAAGAACGGTATGTGAATCGGATTCTGGAGAAATTCAACATGAAATCGACTAAGACGGTCAATACACCGTTAGCCAATCACTTCAAGCTCAGCAAACAAAGTTGTCCTACGAATCAAGAAGAGAAAGAAGCTATGGCGGGTGTTCCATACTCCTCAGCAGTCGGGAGTTTGATGTATGCCATGGTCTGTACAAGACCAGATATCGCTCACGCGGTTGGAATTGTTAGCAGGTATCTTTCCAATCTTGGAAAGGATCATTGGGAAGCTGTGAAGTGGATCTTGAGGTACCTAAAAGGTAGTGTAAATAAGTCCTTGAGCTTCGGCAAAGGAAACCCAGTTCTTGAAGGTTATACAGATGCGGATATGGCAGGTGACCTGGATAGTAGAAAATCTATTTCAAGGTTTGTGTTTACAATTGCAGAAGGAGTTGTATCTTGGCAATCTAAATTGCAGAAATCTGTTGCCTTGTCGACTACTGAAGCAGAGTATATTGCAATGACAGAAGCAGGAAAAGAAATGCTTTGGTTGAAGAGGTTTCTTCAGCAATTGGGAATGAAGCAAGAAAGGTACGATATCAATTGTGATAGTTGTTGTAAATATTTTCCGGAGTAGAATCGAAAGATTCGAACAACGGGTCGTGTCTCACGAGGAAGGTTAGCCGGAATATTTTGTACGATTATTCAAACACCAAAAATTGGAAAATAAAAGGAATAAAACATTCTAAATCAATGTTTGGTTGGTTTTGAATTATCAACTATTGCAAGAATTAAAATAAAGCAAGTAAATAACTAACGAGCACGCAGAACAAATAGGATTTAAGGAGCTAGGGAGTCGGGGATATCCGTTTTGGTTCGAGATGCAATTATCAAGCAAGCGATTGTTCGGTTAAGTGAGTTGACTAATCGGCACGTTCAAGTACTCATTCTCAATAACTTTTCGTAACAAGAGAATAAACTGAAACGACCAACTACCAAGTCATTTAACACCTAGGCAATATAATTACGAACAAGCCTAGTTTGTACGAGCCTATTTCGACCGACTCCTCCCCTTTCGGTTCTAAGAGTCGATAAAATTGAACTAGAAGGTGATTAGTCAACTAGCCCGTTTAGAATTAACAACATCAAGCATGAATTTATCAAATCCAATTGAAGCAATTGAAAATTGAAGTGTTACTCTTCAACAATTATCAAAACTCAAGAACAAATAGTCGAGAACCCTAATAAGATTAACTCGCACAAAGTGAACAATCTTAAGCCCGATAATCGCAAACGAATTCAAAACATCGATCCCCTAATCCCTAGCAATTGAATTTAGCTACTCATATTCAGATAATCAACACAATCACCCATAATCGAAACGAATAAATCCATAGATTAGATATAACGAAAAACTTACAATTAATGAAAATTGGATGATAATCCGGTAAACAAGATTAATCCGAGAGAAATAGCGAAATCCGAAATCTGATCCGTGTTTTCCGTCGAAAATTATATAAAATAAAAGTGAAAAAAACGAGTTTTTCTTTCTTTAGAAAAAGGCCCAGCCCCCAAAAAATAAAACCTAAGCTTCCCAAAAAAAAAAATCTCCTCCCAAGTTCGCAGAAATTGGGTCTTTAAAATCTGTCATCGCGCACCTCGCGGCCGCGGGAAATCTCACGGGCCGCGGTGAAGAAGAGTCCCGCGGCCGCTAACCTCGCCGAGGCCGCAAATTTTCGTGTCTGAAGTTTGGGGCTAGCAGGGAGGATTTGGCCGCTGCGGCCGCGGTGAAGGAGGAGTCGCGGCCGCGGCCACGAAACTGGAAAGAAGCACCACGTAGCAGCGCCGCGGCGTCGGCGCGAGAGAAACACTCTTCACGGCGTGATAGGAGCAGCACGTCGCGGAGAGAACCTCTGGCAAAGCGCGGGGAAACTACAGCAGCGTGACACGGCGTGGAGCAGAAGAATTTCGCGGCGCGGGGGAAGAGCTCGCAGCGGTGGTCTGGCAGTCTGTTCGATTTAACTTCTCGGTCCCGCTCGAGCTCATTTGCTGTGATGAGAGGACGCCGGTGAGGCCGACGATGATCGGAGATGTGTCTGGTCGGAGCGGCGGAGGGTGGTGGTGAGCGACGGAAAATTGAGTGTGTGAATGATGGTCCTTGCCGCGTCGTGGAGGTTGCCTGCTAGCTTCGTGAAGAGAGCACGGGTTGACTACGTCACTTGGTTTTGTGCCGTGAAGGAGAAAATTGCTATCGTGAAGTGTGTTGGATGTAGTAAGCTTCCTTGTACGGCTTATGTCTCGGGTTGGGTCTCGCTCATTTGGAAGTGAAAATTGGTCCCATTTTCTCAATTGTAATGGCCACGCCCGTCTACGAATTTGATAACTTTCTTCCCCATAGCAAACAATCAAGCAACTCAACATGCACATCACTCGAGACGAAAACAAAAACAGAGAAAACGAAGAAAATAATCGAAAACACAAAAGAAAAACTCTAAATAAATGAAAACACGCGAAAAGAAGCAAAACGGACCAAAACTACGGAAACAAACATAAAATGGGGGAAAAAGAAAAGAAAAATAATAACGAAAAACGTAACAAAAATGGGACAAACAATAGTCAGAGTGCATTGGATTTGAGTAAGAATGCGATGTACCACTCTCGCACGAAGCACATTGATGTCAGATATCATTGGCTACGTCAAGCAGTGGAAGAACAACAATTCAAGTTGGAAAAGATTCGCACTGACGATAATCCTGCTGACACGATGACGAAAGTTGTAACAGGGGGAAAGCTTCAGCTCTGTGTTGAGTTGATCGGCATGGAATGCATGTGAAGATTTGCAGAATGTATCCCTTTGGCTGGAGGGGGAGAATAGTGGGGTCCATCCACTTGAAAGTCCAGCCAAACATTGAAAAACAAAGATTCCAACAATTACAATGATTAGAATTTCTTATTGAAATGGGTTGTCATTTCTGACAATTGTGAGCTGCCATTATTTGTCAAGTTGTACAATTTTTTCCTATAAATAGGATCATTTGCAGGCTGGAGGATGCACCGAGAAGCAGAAGAAAGAAAAAGAGAGAAGAAATAACATCTTGTGAGTGTTATTTTTCAGTGAGATAAAAATAGAGTGTTTGAGTAAATTCTTTGAGTGTGGAAAAAATACACTGGGTTGGGTATCAACTCTATTATTCCTTGTTTAGGAGTGGGGTCTCACTGGGTCACTATATTTTACATTTCTAGTGTAAGGGAGTGTGAAAAGATATTGTAATTATCTTGAAAATATAGTGGAATTGTTCGGAGATTGTCTCGTGGTTTTTTCCTCTATTTGGAGGTTTTTCCACGTTAAATCTTTGTGTCTTATTTCTTACATATTTTATTTATTTGGGATATTCTTAGTATGCTATGTGGTTGCAGTTTAATATGATCTTCCACGTCATAAAAGAATTATTCCGGTATTATTGCAAGAGATTTTCTTTTATCATTCTTGAGTTGCTGGGATTGGGATTATTGTTCACCATTTTACCTTGATATTTTAATTTACATCTTCCGCATTGCGCATCTGAGCCCAACAGGCGCTACAGATGCTAGCTATGACACCCAATCACAACATTTTTTCGTCTAGATAGTCCTCCAAAGTGGGAAATTAACCCGAGTGTATATGTGACCAACCTACCTGTAAGTAGATCGTTTATCACTAATAACGAGTCGAGTTCGAGACTTAACAAGTCGAATTATAGAAAACTATAAAAAATTAATCTTTTCGAGTTGAGACGAACTCAGCTCATTAACTAAACATATTTTAAGTGAGATCGAGATTGACTCAATCGCTTATCAAACGAGTCGATTGAATTGAATTCAAATCATAACGAGTCGAACTCGAATCGAGCCGAGCCGAGCCCAACCCATTCAGTGTAGCAATATACAAACCAAAAATGCACTCCTTTTTTATTCTTTTTTTTTTTCTTTTCCAAATGGATGAGACACCACCTTTAGGCTATCTCCAGTCTTTATCTCTACTCTAGCGCGGACTTTACTATACTCTAGAGTAGAGTTAAACGTCATTCATCTCCAGCCCTTATATCTACATCAAATATGTCATTTTTATTTATTTTTTTGTAAAATAAATTGGTAATTAATCTTATATAAATCTTATATAAACTTTTAATTTTAAAGAAATTTACTTGTTTGAATGTGTTAATTTATATTCATACGTTACCATTTTAATATTAAAAAAAATTAAAATAAAATTACAATACATCAATAAATAAAGAGTACAAAATTATTTAACATAAAAAATACATTGCACGAAGTTATTTAGCATAAAAATACATTTATTAATACACATTATACAAAAATTTATCATTAATATTGCATTAAAAAAATTATGTAATGATGCTATAGTATTGCGCCTAGGGGTGAGCGTAGGTTGGTACGGTTTGGAGATTGATAAATCTCCAGAACCGTACCAAACTTCGGATATTCGAAAATTCGATCTCCAGAACCGTACCAAAAAGTCGGTTCGGTTCGGTTAGAAGATTTTTATTTTCGGTTCGGTTCGGTATTGTTTGGTTCGGATCTTCGGAGATTTTTTATTTTTTTAAATTATTTTTGAATGACTACATAGTTATATTTTAATTTTTATATGCTTTAAAAAACAACATTCATCAATAATTCATCATATTGAAGATTTTATTTTGAAATCAATTCTAGAAATAACTCTAAATTTTAGTTATTTAATTTTTATATGCGTTAATAAAACCAACATTCATCAGTACTTCCTCACATTAAAGATTTTATTTTGAAATCAAATTTATAAGTAACTCTAAATTTTAGTTAGAATTAAATTTTTGCAACTAATATTGAAAATTTAAAATTTAAATCAAATATAATATTTTTTTCTTAAGAAAATATTCTTTAACTTTCATATTATTTTAAATAATTATTTTACAATAGAAAAATTCAATTATAGATTGAGTATTACTAAGTATGAAATTTAAGTGAAGTTTAATATTTATTACTATATTATATAAAATCAAAATCGACATAAAATATATTAATAACACATTTAATGTTATAATTCGGTTATTAATTTCGGTTATTCGGTTCAGTATAATACGGGACGGTTCGGTTTGGTTTTCGGTATGGATATTTGTGAAATCTCCAGAACCGTACCGATTATTCTTTCGGTTCGGTTCGGAGAAAGTCAAACGGTCAACAATTATTTTTCGATTCGGAGTGATTTCGATTCGGTTTTCGAAATGGTTCGTAATTCTCCGAGTCTCATATTTGAGTCCTAGACAATTTACGCCACATCTGACGTAATACTGTTCACATATTAGTTGTAGCGCAGAATTTCAGGATTGGAGCATATATTTGACGCGCTCCAGCGTTTTGCTCCACAAGAGACAACTCTTTTTCAGACATTTTTGTCAGAATTGCACGTGTACGTTTGCTCTTTTAGCTCTGTTTCGTCCCATTTTCTTACATGTAACACAAAAGCTGGCATTTGTTGAAAAGTCCACCTTTCCACACTAACCCAGAAAAACATGTTTCCGTACTTGTTTGAAACTTTGATCCAAGCTCATGAAACTTCTTTGACTAGGCTTTCATTACAATATAATATATATAATATAGCATTGCCTCTCAAGTCTCAAATAGACATGGCCACGG